ATATTTGTTTGTATATCAATTGGACAGCAAAAATAAAAACCATATCAAATAAAACATTAGAGAGAGAGCTGTGCCCCGAGTAATGACCGCGTAGCAACGTAGGAGCAGTAGAGGAAATCGGTCGTTTACGATGACTACTGTTGTTGTAGAGAAGAGTTCATACACTACTCACTAGGCATCTTTAGATATACTGTTTTTTATTTACCTAAATTAATTACAAAGATCGAACCTAATCTTAATAGAAAATACTTTGATAAACAAGTTAAAAAACATTTAGTCGAGATAACTGAAATTAAAATTAGTGAAATAGTAGTTGTAGATTTGATAACTGCACTGATAATTTTTTTAGCGATTTCGTATCACGGTCAAAGAACTAACTTAATAATATTAACTCCCGTCCACCTTCATTTGTTTTCTTTATAAACCTAATATTAATTTGTAATTTTCTTTTTATACAACACAATCTAAATTCAAAATTTAAAACTAATAAAAATAAACACTAACAGTAAACATTAAACGTTGTTGACATTACGCAATTTAAAGGTCAATTATTGTGTTTTGGAGAGTGTTTTAAATAGAGTACAGTTTCAATAGTTGTACAACTCAATTTTTAAATGAAAAATTACAAATTAACACATTAAGACGATTACGGATGATAATTGACAATTATAGATTACTCTAATAGAAAGGTTGGTAGAACATGTAAATATATAGCCTAATATTCGTTTTATGTGTTCTGATTTTTAAAAAAATGCCACAAAGAAGCTTTACTAGATACTACTACAACGGAGATATTTGAGTCAGGGTAGCCATTGATTTAAACATTTTCAGTGCTCTAATGATTTTGAACTTTTGAAACTTAAGAGCACAAACAGCGCAAATTCGAGCAAAACCTAGATAATTATAATAATTTAAAAAAAGTAGAAGAACTGCATTTGTTCCATCTGCATTTAGTAAATCTGTGTTTGCAAGATATAGGACTATTAATTTAAAACAAATTTATATTCGCTATAATTATTCCATAAAAATTAATTATAGGTACCAGTAAAGAATTATCGTTAGAATGCTAATATAGAAGTTATTTCTTCTCATTCTTTCATCATTCTTTTAAGCAGATTATTTTCGGTTTAATAAACATTACACGTATCATAGATTACCATTTGAATTATAAATCTAGTGGTGTTATATGTAAATTCCGAAAAGATAAATAGTTAAACATTTTATCATTATTATACATTTTATTACAAGTAAAATGTTTTTAAAAATATTTAACGAAGTAATTCAGAGTTAAGTAATAAAATAAAATAACTGACCGATCAATTGGTTGTGGAGTTGATGAAATGTGTATCATTTATTGATGTGAAGGGTACCTCATAAATATTTTATTATATTATTACTTAACTATTTATAGCCCTAAGTGTTAATCAAGTTTTTTCTAGATTAATTCAAAGTTATACGTTAAGCTGTTCACCCTGTGTATTATTGTTTATATTACACTTGGTCAAAACGAAATATAGTTATTATCTAATAGGTAATCATTGAAGTCACTGTATGTAATTCTCCTGTTAGGTAAGGCCAGGTTAGGTGATATTTTCAGAGTACCAAAGAAGTATTGTATTGATCATTTTATATAAAAAAAAAGTATGATTGCGGTTTAACCTCAGTTTTTTTATGACAGAATTACTTCTGTTGTGCATGGAAATAATCGTTTACCCTTGAAATGCTAATAACTTGATATCTTATTCTTGAAACGACCTAATATTAATTTGAAAACAGAATTGGTGGTCATCGTAAAGTATATATTATAGTCGAACCAGATTACTGATTTATTTTATTCCTTTTTAAACGTGCTCATAGGATGCAAACAGTTATTGGATATAATTATCTTGTCGGCTTGTAAAAAATATTGTAGATCAGTAAAAAAGCTACCATAAAATGGTAACGTGTGAATTAATGTTATACTGTTATGTTGATTAAATCACACTTTTTAATTTGCGTCTGTAACATATTTATTAATATTAAATAAAGTTTCTATTGCCTAATACAAATTTTAAGTTATTTTATCCGTAAAATTACTGAATAAGCGGACGAATTTAATAAAATGCATTTTTTTAGTCTTTTTGCGACTTTAAAAATTGTATTATTTCATAGATGCTCTATTGGAAGGCCTAGCGTATACAAGTTTCGTAAGACAAAAATAACGCAATGCACACTCTATGCTCTGGATGTATACACTGGTGGAACTGACACTTGTCACTGTCAGAGCACTAGAGTATAACGGATAGCCGTCCGGGTTCTTCGCGGATGTCGAAGAGCCGTTGTTTACAATGGATTATAAAGAATTAGAGATTGAGAAAGGATAGGTACACGGTGCTAAAGAATCGCAAGACACGTGTGTGTGTGGAGAGGAAAGTATAAGGTGCGAACGAGTCGCAAGACACGAATACTTGGAGAGATGAAGGAAGGATAAGGTACGAGGTGCGAACGAGTCGCAAGACACGGGTACTTTAAGAAAGGAATGTGCACTGTACGAACGAATCGCAAGACAAGTGCACGAGGAAAGAGGAGAGACTACAAGGTGTTAAATGAACGAACTCTCGAACTTAAACCTTGTAGACGGACAGCGACAACTGAGTACTCTTGACTGATGACATGTGGTTACGGTAAAGTCGACTGACAAAAAAATATCATTGAATTTAATTGTCTTTTATATTGTTTTACATTTTGCGACTAAGCGTTAAGTTAATTTAATTGTTTAGTAATCAGTCTCGAGTCGTCGGAAGCACTGCCCATATTTATTTTTATAAATTTACTTATATTGGTGTCGTGGTCATCATATAACACAAGTATGGTTTGAGGCAAATTTAACGCACCAATTACCTGGTTAGGTTAAGTTAAAAAATATTGATAAAAACTAACACTTTAGTCATAAACCTAAAAAAACATTAGAAATTACACTTAAATGTTTAATATTTAATATTTTGTAAACGATATTTAGTAAATGTATCGCTTATCGGTATAACAGTTAATATATATATATATATATATATATATATATTATACAAAAAAACAATATTTTACTTTGTATTCTTCATACCAATTAGTAACTAGACTAGTATGACGAAATAACGGCTGTGGAATTATCATATTATATTAATATCATGTGCTGAGCTTAATGATTAAAATACGTTAAATTGTATTACAGTTGTTTTTACGCCGAACATGAAACTTTAGTCTAACATAAAATACAGCGATCAGATATTTTTTTCTGAAAAAAATCTGTACTTAAATTAAAGATGTCTATTTAGGTGAAATACTCCGTGTAGCGGGAAACGTGCCCAATCGTTTTTACGAAACTTTAGTTACAATAATAGTAATAATAACAACAGTTAATTTGTATTTGTTTGTGCGGCTGTGAAATAAATCTAGGTCATAACACAGTTTTATAAACCATTATCTCGTCAGATTCACTTGATTTTAAAGTTAAGTTGAACAATATTAAAAACGTGACATATTTCGGTATAATCAACAAAAAAATAATCATATTGTGTGTTAACAGTACACAAATAACTCTTATGAAATAACAATATTACCTACCATTCTACATTCACAGTTTACCAACTTTACAGATTTGATTAAACAAGACTCTTATTTACTTTACGCAAGTGGGTGTTTGTTTGTCAAACATAGTGTCTTTGATTATTAGAATAGAAACGTAACCCTTTTATTATACCAACGAATCACATAGCCAGTAGCTTAAAGTTATAGAATCTAGTTTCAAAATGCAATGTTAGCCCTAAGGGAGTAAACAATTTTTCCGTGACATCGGTTATCATGGATTCATCTACTCAATTAAAATTACTAAATAAAGGTCAATGCAAACTTCTAGTCCTGCATAGCTAGTATACATAACCAAAAACACTAGTCACTCGTCGATCTTTTCCTCTATATTTTACAACAAGTCCTGCTATAACAACAGTTTCGTTTAACAATGGAACAAATCGAAAAAAATATTTCTACTTAATTGTATAGTCACTTACTTAATTCAAAATATTGGACGAGTTCCTTTATTGTCTAGTAACTAGTTCATCTATAGGTCATGTGGTACTTAAATAAGTCTCACATAATCAGACATTCTAGCAAAGGGTGGGAAAGGGTGCAACAGGGTAAGTACTTTGGAGTGGCATACAATTAAAGAGCTCAAAACAAAATAAAACAAGAACATAATTTACATTTCAAATGATTTGTATTATTTCTATCTGTCTAATTAGTATGTACAATATTACTGGGAGCTTTATACAGAGGGTTACAGAAGGCAAGATCGTTCACCCTGGACTTTACGGTTAGCAAGGCACTGTAAATGATACATTATTATTCACTGACGTTATAATACACGTATTGACGTGGTAATAATACTAACATTGTCCATTTTTTATTTTTTATTCATATAGTTTATAGATTTTATACATAATGATAAAATGCAGGTTACCTTTAGACCCAGAATTGAGAAGCTACTTCTCGCGACGATCATAGCTTTTATGTAAAAACAAATGTATACCATACAACTAATGTACATTATACAACGTATTTCTAATCAACTAAATTCATTTTTCAATACTGCCAATTAAAATTTCAAAAAATACGTTTTATTCTTGTAAGTAAATTGTTCAGTAATAATATTATAATAGTATAATAAGTAATAATTATAATTTATTATTAATTGTATGGTCTTGTATTTTATTTACTATTAAATGTTTTTTATTAAAGTATTCATATGCATAAATATTTACCTAAAATTAAAAAAACTAGATCATTAAGGAATTTTTACTTGTTCTAAGTTTTGAACTAATAATGTACTAAAATAAAAATATTATATAATTCTTGCAATAAGTATTAAAAGCATATAGTGTCATATACATTTAGTAAATACTAATAAAGACTATAGATAATAAATGTTAATAACCTAATTTATTGGTATGTATTAACTAATATATAAATAGTTAACACTTTCATTAGGTAATATTTATTGGCATTTCATTCTCTGAATTTACAAATATGATAGTAAGCAAGTTTAAGGTTTATCGTTAATCATTATTTAGTTTAAGTACTGTGTAGATTAAAAATGTATGTTAATTTTACATTAAAAACAACTCATTTGAAAAAAGTACATTTACAACAATTAGTTAGTGTTGATATTAATGCTGTAATCTTGGATAATGTTAACTCATTCTTGCATAATTATTTTAAGTCACTTGTATTTGCTTTTTACTTTTTAAATAATTTAACAGATAAAAAAAAATAAATTTATATTTTTATGTATGCCATTCAGTAAAATTTGTAAGTTCTATAGATTTTTTGTATTTGGATTTAAAGGTATTGATTTAAAATAAAAATACAGGCAATGTAAATTTTAAAATTGTAATGTGATGAGTAATTAAATTGCTTAAAATAGGTCCATGACATAATTAAAGGTTCATAGCCCACACTAATAAAAACTACAAGACAAATGAGTTGAAGTTCAAGGTTATGGGAATGTTGATGTCGCTATGAGGATGAAATAAAATAAATACCGAGTTTGTGATAATAATAAGTGAGCCTAATTAGTTTACTATAGTCATCTATTTATATTACAAATCGTGAATGCATTAAATAAAATAGATCTGTAGACTTAACACGGTATAATATAAAACTAATAAAACCCAGGAAAACGTTGTGTGACTAGTTTAAAAATGATAATTACACAGAGACAACAAGGTATTGCGGAGATATTCTATATTTACATTACGCTACGAGATAGTCCATTGATAGAGAAGTCGATGTTTTTACTTTTCTTACAAAAATTGAGATTAAAAATTATTTGAAAATATTTGTTTACAATAATGACGTGTAGAAAAATACAATATATTTCGTTTAAAATGTACATATCATTTGTAAACAAATATAATATATTTTTATACTTTTTTTTTACGTCGATCATGTTTTAAATACGTAATAAAATATGATGTATTGCATAAAAATAAATTTAACAGAATACGCTACTGTGCGGTGTACCTTATTGTAAAACTAGGAAAAATGTGTGCGATGTCATTTGAAAAACATCAACATTTGAAGCGATAAATAATATTGAATAAATTAATAAAAAAAAAAAAGTCAAATGATAAAAAGTTCGATGTAAGTCCAAGTCCAAGTATAAACTTGATTTGACCTAGGCGAGGGTATCGTCGAGAAAACCAGTCCCGAAATTAGCGATACGGACAATTAGAAGTTGGTAAATAAAATGGTATGATTGCAAAATATATATTATGGCGTGTCGGTGTCGGTAATGTTGTTGTAAGCGTTAGCCTGGGGATTCTTGGATGTTTTCTTCTTGTATCCTCTGAGGTGGATTGACGGGCTGTCTAAACGATTGTATTAGGTTAGGCATACTCTGCCGGGACACCAACGGTCTGTCCGGCGCCGGTGGGTCAGCGTACCACACCGAGGCGGACTTTTTCAAGTTTCCGACCGTGACGACCGGCCGTGGAGGATGTGGAGTCTTCAACAGCTGCCGTCTAGCCCGACTGTCTGCCACCAAGGTCGCCGACGAATCGGACCAGGCGTTCATTGCGTTATTCCCGTTATTGGTGCCCATTGCTTCGTTCTCCCTCCGAAACTCCTCGATCAGGGCGCGAAGCGTGCTTCGGCGTTCGGGAAGTTTAAACGGATACGTGTCCGAGTCGGGGGTCACCGGTTGCTTTACCCGCATGTTCCACACTTCGTTCATAGCCCATTGCAGGTTCTGTTTGTTGACAAACGACTCCGGTCTGGCCGTCGTGCCAATTTGTGAACTGCGCCAAAACAGAATTGCACGATAAATGTAGGTATACAATGTACAACATGTTAAAGTATACTTGAAAAATATACGTCCCAGACCCCGGTGCCTACACTGTGTAGAACAACGAAAAGTAAAATCATGACTAGCGAATTGTCGAGTTCAGGATACTCCGACTGTGTTTCAATCATTACCTAACCCAACACACTCACAGATAGTTCGTTATCTGTAAACCCAAATGACCTCGAATACATATATAAATAGGCTATACCAGCACGAGATGCACGCGAGATGATCGCAACTGCATATTACAGTAATATTAGAATATTATAATAGAATAATATTATGTATAGAACCGGAGAGTATTTGGGACGGAAAGCGGAGCGGCGTTTGTCTTTGGATAACAAACACGGGTAGGGGAAAATTAGGCGTCTCTTGTGTTATTAATATTGTTATGTAGCCGTTGTAGTAGCGTGCTCCAATAATTAAGATAAGGCGATTATAAAGTACGATCAAAGGAGGTACGCGGCTCGTACGTTTTTCTATATAAGTCTATCCTTGACCCTTGGCGCACAATTTAATTCTTTGAAGGGCAAGACAGTTCACCAATTAAGGCAAGCTAAAAATGATAAAATCAGCGATATTCGATAGTATGGAAAAAAAAACCTAGGATACAAGCGAGAATTCAAAATAATAAGCACCCGCACGCTCTAGCGGTAATGTATATGTGATTTTTTGTCTGTATGATTTTTTTTGCTCACTTTTGATACACCCCTCGTATGGCGGTCCTCCATTTGCTGGCCGTCGATCGAGCAGCTACCATTCGTACAACTCTTCGAAATCGATCAATAGGCCGCTCGTCGGGAGTTCGACATTCAATATGTCCATCGTTCCCACGGACTCCTCCACTGACGTTGGTCAAAACGGGAGCAACGTAGAAATCGGTCATCAATCGTCGTTCCCAGATTTTCGATTTTTTGTCCACTAGAGTATTAACAAAATCAAACGTCATAAATTGGTCGACAGCGTCTATCTTAAATAGGTTTTAATTATTTTGTATTTTTAAAACACACTAAAACCTGTCCAAGACGGACCGCGACGGCCTTGCCAAACCGCTTTCCGAATGAAACGGAAACTGAGACTCTATAGCTGCGGTGTCTTAGACAGGTTTCACTGTAATTCATTTCATGAAAGTAAAAATGTTCAATCTTTTTGCAAAATCCTGAATACGCACGATATCATAATATGGTTATAGAGTGATTAATGTTATTACTTTAAGGACGGTACTACATTATTTAAAGGTTTCTTAGTTAAAATATAACGTATATATTATGTATAAACTTAATATACGGTTTTGACGTGTACGCAAATCGTAAGGAGTATACCTAATATTCACATTGTGAGTAAGTAGATAAGAGTTTGATTATTAAGGTGTAGCGGTGAACAATTTAAAATCTGCCTGTGTGTGTGTGTGTGATGGTACTATGGATAAAAATGGACACTTCATTGAATATTTCAAAAAGTAATTAATGTTCTGAGCTGAATTATGAATTGTTTCATTTTTAATGATTTAACAATGACTTATATAATTTGTACAATTAGACACCTCATTTACGGTCAATGAATAAGATGTCCTAAAATCAGAATAATTAAAATAATAATTAATCATTAATTAAACACAGCGGGTTCTCTTCAAACGTATCTACTGCATAGATGTTATCTTTGATTTAGACGTATGGGGTCTATGAACAGTCTTTGCGTTCCGTTAACTCTACAGCTGCTGTTGCCTTTTATTATGTTATTTTTATTCGTGCATTTTAATAATATTAGACAATATGTCGGCAAAAAATTAATTAGGTTTTATTTATCATACTCATTACAATAAATTCATTACTAATAGGTCAAGATAGTTAGGTAGGTCAAAACATTTTTTTTTAATTTTGATAATTTATCATAAAATAATATGTGAACAAAAATATTCATTGAAAAGGCATTTCAACAATATTTTTCAATTTTAAGTTATTTCATCATTTTTGATTCTTCATAGAAGAAGCCACGGTTCATTAGGAATTTGATTTTGGATCTCTGGCTGGATAGGAATAACACCATAATATGTATTCTTATAGAAAATAGAACAACTTGGGATTATGTTTTTGCATGTGCATGTGTTCGTATGTGCAGTTCCTCTAAGTCCGTCGATAGCAACTCAGCGGACTTGAATGTTTCACTAAAATGTTACCAGTTTGTTTTTCGATTGCCTAAATGAACTAATTTAAATTTAGTGGCGATTGGGTTTAATTTTGAAGGAATTTTTTTTTGTTGTTTTACTCGCGATATTAAATCTAGACGTATTTTGCAAAATGTTTGTGTGTTGGCTGACCACAATATGTAATAAAAATGACTGCTCCTAGCTCATCCTAGCTAATCATAACATGTAGAAGTTATGATTTGGCAGCGGGTTTTTTTTAGTCAATTTTTTACTTACATTGTTTAAAATCTATCGGTCAAGCATTTTCTATAAACACTACCTACAATAACCCATCAATTAAATTTATTATTCTAGATTTATTAACGTATGAATCTTAAGAATATATTCGTTTTACCATTTTCAGCTACACGTGTTTTGTTTAGTTGTACATCGTTTATAATTAATATAGTATCTAAATATGTATAAAAAAACACATACTAGATTTTTTCCAACAGTCATTTGATACTTCCATGCCGTTTTTCCGGAACAGTTCTAGGAAATCGTATTTCATGCTATTGATGTCAGTCTTGATTTCATTTACATCATCTTCAGTGACGCCCTCATTTTCTGACTGTCGATGCTTCATGGATACGTACCGCCAGATTAGAGCTCGCATAACGGATGCAAATTCACCCTTTTTCTGTATGTTATTTCTGCAATCGGCGTCTTCGTTCTACATGAATTTTACAAACATAAATCAGTAACAATACTACTGTTATTGTATTTACTTATCTAAACATTTCATTAAATGAAAACAAAATTATTTAATTTCTACGGTTGACTATAATATACATAGTTAATATATTATTTATTTGTATGTATGTATACAGAACAAACGCAACGAGAGGCAACTGTTGATCACACGACTTCCCTTGTATTGTATTGGTTAATATTACTAGTAACGATAATCAAGTTTCATCATCTCAAATTATTTTATAGTAAGTATAGATGTAACACATAGGCTATAATGTTGTTGTTGAGTAATAATTTGAATTTTCAAACCACTTATTAAATCTGAATAGTTATAATTACAAATAAAGTTGTTTAATAGACTATAGCTTTAAAAAGTTAATAAATAACAGGAAGGGTTATCCTTTCAATATACCACACTCTAGATTCGAAAACAATGTTAGCTAAGATCCCAATAATTTTGATTGTTTCATCATAGTAAAGCGTGTAAAATAAATTTGGTATAATTTTTTACCCATTCGGTCGCCATCACTCATAAAGTAGTCAATACAATTGAATCAATTGTGCTCCCACAGCTAATAACATTTTATTTATAATTTCTGTGTTATAGTTTTTAAGAGGATATTTCGAGTCGACATCATCATTCCGAGTATTGTCAACCAAGCTTGTCATTCATTTTTTATATATATCACTAATTTTTAACGTTACTGATACTTTTTATCTAAATTAATATATTCAGCAAGATCGAATGGTCTCTTTTAGATCAACGATAATAAAATTCTCATTAACATTTTATGAAAACATTTGTTTTTATTATTTTATTCACGAAGTCAGGAGACCTTTTATATTTCATTATAATACCATAGCAATTATTTTGTATCATGAAATAACGTATTTTTAACACGACAGACAATATTCTTTAACAAATGTTCAAAATAGTAGCTAGTATATTATTTCAACGGTCAGAGACCTTAATAATTGCACGTCTATTTAATAATACTGATTAGTTAGAAATAGTAGAATACGGTTTTTACCAATTAAAAGCTGGGAAATCCGTCGTTATTTAAACGGTATTTTGATTCTCTAAAGGTTTGATGCAAAACAACAATTTAGATGACACATCATTTTCATATTTTGATTATAATTTATGCAATTATAAGTTTTATTATAGCTATCACTAAATAATTAATTGCAAGTCTTTGCTCACGTGCATGAAATACGGTTCATTCAGCTAAAGTTTCATGCAAAACAACAATTTTCTGATCAACATCATTCTGGTATTTTGTTTTTAATTAATCCACACTGAAGTAATTATAAACAGTTAAATGAGCGAGATTTTAAATGTTTATAATTATGGGATTACGTTGTTTTTCTGTAACTTATGACATCTAATTTGTAAAAAGTCGTTTACGCTTTAAGTAAAGTTTTTCTCTGTCCTACAGTTGTTTTATTAACTCAAATGTATTGTTATTACTTGTGACCATTTGTCAGGTTTCGGGACAGCAGGCTTCCACGCAAAACATAACGCTTTGATTAATTTCAACGAAGGGTATACGTTATAAGGCGAAGGGAGAGTGGGCGTTTCTTCAAAGCAACTGAGCCACAATTTTGTCCTCGAAAATTTCCATTCTACGTCTGATTGTCCCTGAAAAAACGTGTTGATTATAATTTACATTTAAAATTTAATACCAAATGAATTACTTCTATGACGGAGTAAGAATTTGACATCATTGCAATCAACAGATTCAGCAAAATGGTCACATTGATTACCGAATATGTAGCAAATATCAATAACGCCCAAAACCGTGTGTAAGGCTTCATGCCGGGTAAGTCAAAATTCTCAGTTCCGACATCGCCAAAACCTGTCCAGAACAGTGTCTGAAGGGATTCGAACAAACTAAAACCGTTGAAATAGGTATAAGATACAAAGTGTAATTTAAAGAGTTATATTGTTCCTAGTCAAACAAATAAAATGTTGTATGTATGTAATTGTATTAAGATTTAGGTCAGGATAATTTTAAATTGTACAAACAGTGTAGTGTCATTTCAATTTTTCGAATAAGATTATTGAAACACCAAACGTTTAATTGATCTAAACTCGAGAAGTAATTATGAAAAGTCAACTATTTATAAATCAGCCATTATGTCTAAAATTATAAACTTATCAATAAAACATTTAATGGGAGGGAAATTATTTGTTTTTTAACGATATGTTTAACTAGGTACTTTAGAAAACGTTGTTTACAGTAATTAGTTTTGAATCCCACGGAATGTGATGCAGAACTATTTGAAATCTACGAGTTGGTCACGGTTTAAATTGTCATAATATTGAAGTAGCTAATTTAAAAATGGACACATTTGCTTAAACGTGCCGAAAGGTTAGCAATGTTTTCAAGATATTGGCATGAATTTGTTTCAGTTTTTATGATGGATATCATAAGTGAAATGCGAGAGACCGCCTATTACAGTGAAGTCTCCTTTTCATTTAATTATTCATTCTATTTTTGCTACTATTAGTGCGTTTATAATCTATTTTTGTAAGATTTTAGGTATTTTCGTATCCAACATAGAATCGAAATTTCGCATTCTTTGAACGGTCCAAGAGCCAAATTCTTTAATTCACGTGTTTCATAAAAAATAAAATAACGTTGTTTTCTACGAACTTCATTCGTCGTCGAGTTAAAAAAATAAGTTTAAAAAAATCTAGAGGTCAATAGTTGGCATTAATTATTGCATTAAATAATTTATAATAATGTCTTTCGACAAAACTCCTCGCTATTGAACAATATATGTATAATACAATTCTAACATAAAAATGACACAATTGCGACAGCGTAAGCCTCCGAAGTGTGTGACATGTTACCGTTGTTTTTCTGAGATGACCCACAACCCTAACCGACGCGATGCCAGGAATGATGTAGTTGTGCGTCAAAAAGTGAAGTCTTCATGACGTTTTCCTTTTGGTTTAAAAGTGAACGTTACTCGTTATTTTCCGACAAAATGCAATAGTTATCGTTGTTGAAATAAAACCCTGAGCTAATAAAAGTATTCTGGCTAAAACGTTTCACGGTATAGTATTTTTAATTTTACCCAAGTATTTAAAGTATAACAAATTATGTAGGTGTAACGCGTAGGCACTTAAATAAGAGACAAGAGTATATATACTAGTTCATAGTATGTTTAAAAGTGAAATCTGCCCTTATATGACCCTTACTTGTAATTAATAAATGAACAAATTAACGGGAATATGTTATGTCTGTCATTATAATGTTCTGCGAATTGTGGATTTTAGTTAATTATGTACTGTCCATGCCAAGAAATATGTGAAATAAAAAAATACATTTGAAACAAATATTTTTTTACTTATTTGTCTAATTGGATGTTTTTTTAGTTGCGTAATTTTTCTTGTATACGTTAAGAATACATTTTAACTTAACTAACATGTCATAGCTGTTGACGGTTTCTTGGTGACGAAAAAGAAAAAGCGTTTTCATTAAATAAAGAATCACCATCGAAATCTTTTCAAATTTAATTATTTATAAATTATATTTTCGGATGAAACACGAACTGTGTATTATTTTTTCCTTGTAAAGAAATTGTTAATAACGGCTTGTGTTTAAGTATGAATCATTTACTAGGAAATAAAATTCCTACACATCAATAATGCGCTTGCTTGAGAACGCATTTACATATTAATGGTTGGGTGATGGTAAAGGTTCACAATAACAGGTAAGTCCTTGGACTTGAATCTGACATATTATAGCTAAATACTGCAAAATTCAACTACGATCTATCTGAAAATTAGTTAGATTATATTTTTCTTTTGTAAAATGTTTAAAAAAAAAAAAAAAAAAAAACATTTATTTAATTCAAGGTACTTAAATTTTTGTTAATACTATGTAATCATTAATCAATATAACGTCTATTATTGATCGATTTTTTTTTTAATATTAAGTTCACATTGATTAATTTAACATTAAATTAAATTTCGTCAAATATGAAATATGTGTAATAATTATAGAGATGTTATTGTTTTTGTCATACCTATATAAATTATATTAAAAGCTAAAGTACATATTTTAACTTGATCAACGAGTGACGAAGTGGTCGTACACGGTACTAGAAATATCGGATTTGATTCCCGCTACAGATGCTTATTCTACAACTCTGCTTATTTGGAAGAGGGAGGGCTTTGAAAGTAAAATGATTCGTAAACTATTTAAAAATTAAACCAGTAAATTGTACTAGTCGAAATGTCAATGAATACCGGACATAACAATTTAAAATAAATAAATAAATGTCAAACTAATGTCAGAAAATGCTAATATTAGCAGATTTAATTATAGCTTTTCTATCAAAATAAAAATATACTTATAAACCTCTTCGAGAACAATTAAAGTTATTCTTCTATTCGCATTTTCGTGTAATCTAATATAGATTCAACGGTGCACAATTTTAATTGTGCAGGCAAGCGGTATTATTATTCATTACAAAAAACAAACTAGATTAGCAATATCAACAACAATAAAGAATTAACATTATAAGCAATAACAGAAAAAAATAATCTTAATATTGTAATCATTTTTAATTTAATTATATGTATTATACATATTATAGAGGGACTTTGATAATAAATTGTAACTAATTACTCAATACTTGTAAAAGAGTACAACCAACTTATTGTGTAAATCGATACATTTATTTTAAAATTGTGTATTTACTCTTAGTAATTTAATTAACTTCATTGATAAAGTCATAGTAGAAAGACAGTATATTTTAACTAGGAAAATTAACATTCGCGTTAAGTCTAAACAATAATAGGCAAAGCTGGTCGTAGGTTCATATATCACTTAAATCTATGTTTTATGGTACTTTAACTCCTTACTTTCCAAAGTTCCTCCACTTGGAGCACGATTCGCTGGCACCTTCCCAGTTAGCAGATCCGTCAGGTAACGTGTAACATTTCTTTCGTTCTAGATCAGCAAAATACCACATCAGCTGATTCAATCCGCAAGCAAAAGAAAACAATACTAGACTGTAAATACTGAAGAACTTTAGGATATCAATTAACATTCGCTTTAGAGATAACTGTAACGGTCCTAAATGTGAGCTTATCGAACACATATGGATCAGCTTCAATGCACTGCAAACAACAATACATTTTACCAACCGATAATATTGAAACGTTCGCGGTGCGACACATCTTGTGACTTCTTTCACACATAGTAGGTAGCTACGAATGATATTTTAATATATTCACCTGAGTATGTTAGCGGCCGCAAACAGTGCATCGGCCACTAGTTGAGGATCGAATGTGTCCCATTTTTCTCGGGGTATAAAAGCTGATGATGGATCGTGAGCTATCTGTATCGTCTCGGTGACATACGCGTAAATCCGGACCGTTATTACAGCTACATACATCTTGTTTCTGGCGAATTCCACATAATTCCAAGCGTTGTGCGCCAGGTATGCGTGCAAACCGTCTTTGCGTACATCTAATATTTCCTTCCAAATGTAACCTGCGAAATGAATGATCATTTTAATACCTAAGCAAATCCAGACTTGAATATTATAAATGTGCACGAACCGATTACAAAATTCAAGATCAGCAGTTCAATGAATGAAGGCGCGTGACCACGTTGACGGAGTTGACTTTGTTTTAAATCGTTTTTCATAGATTCCGTCCCGAATAGTTCTATCGCTTGGATTTCTGCTCTCTGAGAGGCTAATACTAACAATCCTAGGAAATCAATTGTTCGTGTAATAGAAAAATTTAATCTGAATTTATGATTAATGATTTAGTTAACGTATAAACACTCACCTAAGTACGATAAATACGAAGAAGAGTGTATCAAAAATTTCATAAATGGTTTTTCCATTACTTTCCCGATTTCTGCACTGGGAGCATACAAATATACTAGGCAGTAGAATGGAAAAAAGTAAATGATTTTTATAACTTCTACGACCTGCTTGTAGAGCTTTAAACGACGAAATCCTGGTAATCCTTCGTACCATACGGTCGCCAAAAGTTGTTGTATGTATGGATGAGCAACAAACTATGTAAATGCAATAAAAAAAAAAAAAACTTATCGAATTGATAAAAATAATTACAAAAAATATAAAACACAATATTATTTTTTTGACACATACAATACAAATTATTGTCATAATTGATCTAAAAATGTTATTAACGATGTTGCTTATTTAACTCATGCAGAATTCTGTAGTGCGATTCATTAGTAGTAAGTATTGCGTTGTATAATATAAATAATTACGAAGTAACGATTGCATTAATTTGGTATATAAGTATTTCCAGTCATGGTTAATAAGCAACGCAGCCTTTGGTTTTAAATTTGTTAAGTGTTTTTAAGTAATGTGTACTTTTAAGTTAAATTATAATACGATGATAAGTATGCAAGGCATACTATTATATTATATTCTGTTTGAGTTTTAAAAATATGATGTTCCATAGTATACATACGTGTTTTTGTTTGTATTTGATAGCTTGATCTATTAGTTTGAATTTCGTTGAACCAGAATTCGGTAAGCTTTCAGAGTCATGATTTAAAATTACATCTAATTCATAGGAACTCCGAGTTTGCTGGAGTAGGTCTACAGCAAATTGTTCACACTGCTGACGAAGCTCCTGAAAATGTGAAGGTAAACCCATTACAATAGTAAAATTATAGAAAAAAGGTCCTAAGTAAGACGTCAACATGCGAAAGAAAAGCTAGCTAACTTAAATTGTATTATTTTTGATACAAATTTAGTGTTTCGAATTTGATCAATAAAAATGATGCATGATATCGGGAACTTACGTTATACTCATTGGTGAACTCTTTTTCCATTCTGGCTAATCGTCTAAGTTCCCAGGATAATTGAAAAGCAGTCACAATAGGATCGGCTGATGACAGCGCTATTAGTGATGGACTTGCTAGTGCTCTGTACTCATTGACTCGACACGTTGAATACCGCAACGAGTCGTTTTTAACGGATGTTATACATTTATCACAACCACATCTATGTACAAATGTTATTTAATTTAAGTAATATATCTTAAAATAACTTAATCGATTTACACTCAATTCCATCAAATCGTATTTAATCTTTACGAAAAATAGTTAATCATAAGAAATCTAGTTGTAAAATGTTTAAAAATACATTTATTATAAAAATACATTTACAAATACATGTATTAAAGAATTTGAATATATCATATACGAGGATGATTTGTTTGCATACAAATTATTCACATAAATGATGCATAGATTTGCTTGTATAGGTTCTGCATATAAATCAATAAAATGCAGAATTGAAAGAAATGGATGTATTACAATTTAGTTATAAAATAAAAATCAATCAGAAGAAAAAAATTTAGTAATGAAGTGGTCTTCAAAAAAACTGTTTTTTCCTAATTAATAATTAGTAATTTACGCGAATTAAAAAGTCAGATGTTGCATCATTTTACAATGATTTATGTTATGTACTAGTTAGTTTATATGGATACAACGAGATAAGAAAAAAATGTTAGTAATAACGACCTTTGTTTAACTAAATTTAAATTTGTGAAAACAAATTATTTAATTTTTTAAGTAAAACTAATTGATAGAAATGTATATAAGATTACAGTTAATGAACAAACGTATTACTTGATTGAATGTGGCATTGGCAGCGTTGCACCTCGATCTAACAACATTTTTATGATTTCATAGTTATTTTTGTGTGCAGCCAAAATGAGAGGAGTGATATCTGGAGTAAAGTAAGCTGTATTCCAGTCCACTTTTTCCCAACTCTATAGAATAAGAAAAAACTTCTCTTTAAATCAGTTTTATTAAGTGATTATAATTTAATGTTGGGAGACTTTATTTATTTATTTATTTTAGAAACAAATTTTACCCTCATAATACTGTGAAATTAAAATAATATGAAACATTTACGTAAGCTGTAGTTATAGTTTAATAATATTGTTCTCCCTACGTTCTATACGCCGCAACCTTTAATAAAGGACACCCACTCCGGTCTTTTTCTATAATAACTTCCCGTCGATCTGATCACTTTTACCTTCATAACAGTTAACTACTTTATACTACTATTTTCCGTCTGGACATGCAAAATCCAAGACAATTCATTTATGTTTCTAATAAGTAATAAATAACATCCAATTTCAAATTTTTACTTAACATTGTCATTTTGAATATTTTTATTTCTTCATGCGTCATTCCTAAAACCCAACACATTATTTCTTCATCGTGGCCTTACTTCCATTAAATATTTGTCACAGAATACGTATGTAACATCTTTTCATCTAATCTCACTAAGTTCCACCCACCACTATCATTCCTTATAATTTTCTATACCTAATTGACAATTATAATAATATAAACATTTAAATCTATTTACTAGATATTCTTCAAACACAACCGGTTGTCTACCTTCAGCTTAAAGGGGCTAAACGTTAAAAAGAGGTATGTTAAGAGTAATAAGTATAATAAATATAGCTAAGGCTAATGTTTGTTGTAAGTTTTAACAGAGATGGAACAATAATAAGGTCAAAATTAAAATGAACCAGGAAAACAAAGAACTACAAATAAATAATAACTAATCGGTTACGCATAATTATAATAATTTATGCTGGGCTGCATACAAAATTAACGGTTCATTAAAAATTAATGGACCAATAATAGATCATGATTTGATGTTTAGTGAAATACTAAGAATTTAAACCCGCCAGTAGTGTGGTCGATAGCCATGCAAATTTCAGTTATATAATAATTAGTCGTCTTCTCAGAATTAGCGATAAATCGTTTTCAGTCTTAACACAATATCTGATGGTTTTCGTGTAATATTAAGAAATTAAACAATCGAAAACAAAACATTGGAAACGTTCAACATTAATGAATGCATAGAAGTGAACACGAAAATCGATCGTTGTTGATGAATTATGGCTTGGTCAATCTAAATACGAAAATAACATCCTGATGCAAATGAAAAGTAGCGTATATATTATAGAACTGAATGGTGTTATTTACTTGACAAAACAAAACACACGACATTATGTAAATTTCAACATTTCTTAAAATAGTAACTACTCGTTTTTGCAACATGTCAACGTTGTTATTTTAGATAGTTCTCCGTTAAGGGGTCTTGAAGATTATGCGAAAATGCTACAACTCACGTATAATTCACCCTCGACGTGCACTAATTCTTCGTATTGAAGCAATAATTCCACCGCTTCCACGAACTCGGCGTTTATTGCGTGCAGCAAGGTGTCCTTTGGGTTGACGCCCATCACCACGAGCATCTCTAACATTTCTAAATTTTCTGCATCTATGGCTATGTTGATTGCGCCTCGACCAAATGAGTCCATGCAATTAACGTCTATGTGCCCTAAACGGAATGCACGTTCGACCATTCTAAATACAAACATTACATATGCTAATTGTTTTAATGTTTTTTTTTTTTTTTTTTATGAAAAATTATTCAAAATATAGGTAAACATGGTTCTTTTGAAAAACTCGCTAATTTTACATGATTTAAAAAATTGTATTCAGTGTACTACTCACAGGGTGGACAATGAGAATTTACAATTACTATTATTTATTATTAAGTAATGCGAGTAAAGCGTCGAGGGACACGTTACCCTCGTAATTATCACCATTTTCTAATTTTCATACGAAATCCAAGGTATTCTTTAATTGAATTTCAAAAATTTGTCTGTATTAAATAGCGCTAAAAAATAAATCATCACACAAGCATAGAAAATAAAAAGCTAAAATTATGAGGAAATGTGAGTTGCGTGTCGATGTTTTACAAAGTCTCGTTTTTTTAACAAACATTTATTGTGTCTATTGTGTTAATAAGGGCGCGAATATTATATTTCACAGTGCAATGTTCAACTAAATGTAATTATCTGATAAAATGTGTTCAAATGCTTATCACCTTAAAACTATTCTATTAATACTCTGATTATTACGATAACATAATAAAACATATTATATAGTGTATCAATGAAACATACTATAAAAAGTTTAATTTGTTAGTACGCAAATTGTGGGAGTACATTAAATATAACGAAAAGCTCTTTTGTTAAAAACAACAATTATTTGCTTGATAAATGTTACAATTCAAAAATTCATTGTTAAAAAAATTACAGTATATAATACTATAAAATTCGAAAATTTGCTACACTACATTTTTAGTTGCAGATGACCATTAGGAAAATTCTACATGTAGTAAATTCGAGTAAAAAATAAAGTGTGAAGTTGTGTACATTTCAAGTTCACACTTAAATTCTTAAGGCTGTACAGATTTATGACTATTTTTTTGTAGGCATGGCCCAGCCAGTTTGATTTTTGTATGTGGATATATATATATATATATATATATTTATGTGTGTTTGTATATAATGGAGGTCATGGTAATAAAATTAAAACAAATGTATAAATTAATAAAGAATCCTTATTACTAAACTAGTATAAATATTATAATTATAGTTTTAACGAAAAATTGTCTCTATGTTACCCTTCATGTATAAGTGTGATGAGCGGCGTCGTCTTAGCAAATCCGGTCTGATTTTTATTGTAAAAAACAACTCGAGCAGTTTTTTTATTTAGAAAAAACAATAATTCACTAGTTTGAAATCCGGACTGGTCCATCTTAAATCGATCGAATCCCGCCAAGGACGAACTGAGGTAAAATTTCATTGCATAAAAACGAGCCCTACTCGGTTAGGGCGTGCATTCAATTGAGCACTCTATAGATCCGCCTATGGCCTCGAGGACGATCACTCTCTCGTCTTCCGACTTGATCCGCCATTATATTGAATCCCGGACAGCCCAGGTTTAATTTTACTAATTAAATAATTGATTTTCAATAGATGTCCTGCTCGACCAGCATCCATAAGTATATTATTTTTAATTCAAGCCCGGTCCGGATTTTTATTTTCTGAATCAGACGTGGCCCAAAATGCCCAAAGTACAATTCGTGGGAGGTGGGGATGGATGATAATGTCTCTAGTGCCAAGTTCGACGACTTACACCACTAGGCACTATGCTCGACACAAGTCGTGGAGACATCACTTAACGAGTTAGTTTTATAGCAAACCACCGGTAAATTATCGAGCCAACTACAATGTAATTCACTCAAATGTGATAAGAGGATTTCGTTTTTTTTTTTTAACTATGTAGGATTTGTATTGCCTATTAAACTGACCTTTGTACGTTGGGCACATCTCCTCTTTGCACGGCCAGCAGATATTTTTTTTCTTCCAGCGAAAGAGATTTCGCATAACTCCTATCTTGTCTTATTCGGTTCATGGTGATGTTGAAATCCAAACAGTCAGACAGTCATAGTGACCGGCGCAATATCACCAATACTAATTCTGCAATAACGTTAACCGCGTAGCTGCAAACTCAATCATGGCGATGTGAGAAAGTACAAATGCGGAATGAACTCATACATAACAATGTAGTTTTTCCTACTAAAAATTAATCTCACTGTCAATGCGGTAATAACCCGAGAACGTGTTCTGCACAGAGGCCGGTGGTAGTCCTTGATACCTTCTAGTCTTGATCCTGAAATAAACGATCCGGTTAGACTACTTGATGACTATACGAAGGTGATCATTACCCACTCGCGGTATACGTTTACTATTTTATATATGTGGTGCGCGAGTATAATACATACAAATAAAAAATGTATACATTTCAAAAAGGTGGGTGCAAAATGCAATAAGTAACCGTAAGTCGGTTACCTACTTGATTTCCTCGATAGGTACAAACTGTAATAGTAGGTATACTTACATATAGGCAATAATAAATTCTAGTGAGACTGTTTTTGTAATAACAAACTTTGAGAAGTTCAGTACGTTAACGAGGACTCTCGTTATCCTATGTTTATAAGTCACTGTAAATACTTATATTCGTTACAGATCTAAATATGTAAGTATACTACTCGTATCATTAACGAGAACAACGCAATTTCGAGTAGGTACTATAGGTACATGCTAATTAATATAATCTGACAACAATGGCATAAATAATTGTTGCTCCGGCCTCTTGCATACTTAATTAATTTAAACATTATTCTACGACTAAACAATTTTATTTTTCGATGAATCCATTTTTGTTTTAATAATAGTGCGTTTAATTAATAGATTCTTCTGTTCATCGGCGTATCATGTCATATAGGTGTCTACATAATATGAATATTAATATCAGCCGTAGGTACATATTCCTACCAATCTTCCATCACTTTTTTCACGACATCCAATACCGGTATAATTTTTTTTATATCAGTACCATTTTTTATGTTTTCTATTTAAACGAATACGTTATACGTATTTCCTGTTTTTTTATACAAAAAACAAACACGGTTTTAATGGGTCGAGTGATGACTAATCCTGACAGAACCAATATTCTTGATGATCTTGATCTGTTTTGTTTTAATATTTTAGATACCCTAATTACTAATATACGTTGATTTTAGAAATATAAAAATAACTATATAATTTAGCAAAATAGATGTTGAAACCCCGACTACTTTACGTATAACCATAATTAAACTGAATTGTAAATGATATAAGTTTTTAATTTTAACATTTTCTTTAAATACAATCATGTATAAAATATCCACCTTTTATGTGGTATGCGATTTCTATACATTTGTATGTAGTATAGCAAATAGCATACTTCGGAAGAAGTAGTGTGCAAACAATCCCTTCCCAGGTCGGCGATTGCTTGAAAAAAAAAATAGCAATTACCATAGTAAAAACTGTCGAGTTTTAATACATTTTTAATATATACTATTATTATGCACTGTATGAATAAAAAAAATGATTTTAATAACTAATATACATTATTTAGTATTTCCTTAAGATGATTATGAAACAGTTTAACAAAAAAAATTATTCACAGCCAGTAAGAAAGGTTATTTTGACATTTTCATTTTATTCATTCCAGCACAAAAGATCATTAAAAAAAGTGTGCATAGACACTAGGTTGGCCACAAATTATTAATTTATTATTGCTAATATTTATTAGCGAAAATAATAACATAAATTAATGACTCGTTTTTGAAAACAATGCAGCTGTTATTTAATTACTTTTGACTTGGGTAGTTATCATCTCAGAATTTTGACATTATTAAAAGACTATATTTAAAAAGAATATTGATGGTTTTTTTTTTTAATTTAGATGGTAGCAAAATACGCGCAAAATCTACAAATGTAAAGACAAAATCTAAAGCTGACAAGTGACACTAAGTTTCTACATGTACAAAACATTAGTAAGATTTTGAAATGTTTTAATAATTAAAACAATTTTTTTGCTGCTACTTGGTACTATTCGTCAATTTTAATTCAGTGAATATGTTTTAGTCAAGAACTTTTCACCAAATTAAATATAACATTTATTATCTCAAATGCATTACAGGTGTTATGCTACTATAGGGTTAATTTTTTAACAATCCATTTTTATTTTTATAATTATAAAAGTATATATTTTTAAATGTATAAGTACCTAGAATACAAATAATTAGAGTATGCTTTGGGTATTAACATAGCTAATGATCTCATACTTCATTTCATATAAAAAATCGATAACCTTAGTTCAAAAATAAGATCTCTTTAAATTCTGGTGATGGGATTGACATATTTAATAATAATAAATTAAAAATATAATAGTATGGAATAATAATAATATTAAAGCTAAATTATATAATAATCATGATAACTAAATAGCTATAAGATTACTTAAAATATCATTAAGGCTATAAAACAATAATTATTATAGTCATTAAAAAAAATAATGAATAACTTGAAATCTTGGGTTTTCACCAAAAAAAGATTATTTTTTTGTGTACTGGATTTTTTCAATTTTCACTTCATCGCCAACAAGCCTGTACACGTATGATACTACTGTAGAACTTTGTATATCCATTACTACAAACGATGGTATTATATCACTGCAAAAAAATGAACAAATATTTTGAATTAGACATAATAATAAACAAATTTTAAAAGAAAAAACGAAGTATGTACAAACGATTAAAAAATTGGGAGATTTATGCATTTTGGAGGTATAATTTTTTTTTAATTTTAATATATTTTTAACAATTTTTTTTTCGACCTTGTGTACTGTCAGTTTTGCCGATAGACAAATGAATTTGTTTTTAGATAATTAAATTAAATTTATGACCTCCTGGCTTCTAATTAAAAACATTTATTTTTAAATAAAATTTTACCATCCTTCATATAATTTTTTTTTTAGCTTTTTGGTTGGTTTAGGTTTGTGTAAACATTTATGGTGAGGACACTGAAAGGGCCCGCTGCTAAAAATGCTGGGTAGTGACCTATCCGGGATCTAGCAGCGACAGACACCGGTTAACTTTGGGTGCCGAGTAAAACAATTAAGGTAACCACTGCTCTATACCATGCCTCTATTTCATACAATATTTCATGCTCTATAGACATAATGAAAAAAGAATAAATATTTTTTATTTTTAATTTCTATAAGTAAAACACTGTACAATAAGAACTATGCAATTTCTCAACATTTTGAGTTAGGTTAGGTTAGCAACATAGCAACATTTTAATTGCGTTTAAGACATTAAATACATTCGAGTTACAAGAATTCTTTATATTAAAATCATAAACGCGAACCAAAAGTATAAATAAGCAGACATTTCTTTATTATGGTTTAATTTATAATATTTCAATTAAAATCAAAGAGTAAAATAAAAACAATCTCCCAAAAAAAAAAAAAATTCAACAAATTGTAAAACTTTTTCAGTTGTTTTGTATTGAAGCTAATAGAAAACATTACTTACGGATTTAAAGGATTAAATGCTCCGGTAGCCGATCCCGGATTAAGGAAAAACTTATTGCCGAGTTCAAATGCATCAAACTTGTGCGTGTGGCCAAATACAAGTACATCAACATCAAGTTGTCTCTGAAGTAATGCTAACGATTCAGGATCACCCCAAGGGATCACTTGATGTCCATGGCAGAGACCAACTTTAAATTGACCAACATTTACCACTTTTTGATCAGGGTAGTTTAGATTCTAAAAATAATAACAATTTTAGTCATCATAAAATCATCAGTTCCTACAATAAATAAAATTACCTCATCAAAATCTCCTCGCACAACGTGCACATCATTAGCTATCGACTTTAAGAACTCGTACATTTCTTTTGTGCATAAGTTACCTGTACATAAAACATGTTGTATTTTTCCTGGCGTTAACAATTTCTTAAACTGCGTTGGGAGACCACTACTACGAAACGGTACGTGCATGTCTCCAATAACCAACACTGAACACTAGATAATATATTATTCAAATAAATATTTTAGTTAATATGTATTAATTTATTATTTCACGAAGGTAAATTAAATTATAATACATAACATTACACCAGCGTAACATAACTATGTTGAGCGTTTAACGTTAAAAAAGAAATCTTACCATTTTTGAACTATCTAGATTATTACTACCTAACAAAAAATTATAATACAATTTACGACAATAACAATTTATCGGTACAAAAAAAATTACTACACTATTAAGCACAAAAAATTAAATTTGAGTTAGAGATTCGAACAACAAACCAAAATCCAAATTACAAAAGAACAACGAACAGCAGCGAGCTAAATACTCCCAACTGATAAGAATTTTTTGGTTATCGTAATGTGTTTCGGTTTCGGGTGATAGGCGGTTTCACTCAACGTATACTTGGCCGAATTCAAATCACTTCCTCTTAAAAGTTAAAACTGTAGTTGATATGACATTATAGGGTCTCCTTTTTTTGTCTGTAAATAAATTAAAAGGTTGTTTAAGTCGTTATATCGTCTTCTGTTTGAATCTACTAAGTAAAGTATTATTTTTGTTTGGAATACTGACTTTAAATAAATGCTGCGTCAGCTAAAGCCAATTCCATCTAGTTAGCTGAGATTAGGTTTATTAATTTAACTTATTAAATAATTATTGACGTTTATTTATTCATTTTACGTTCAAACAAACTACTTTATGTATGTAATTTATTTTACATATTTTATAATAATCATTTTGTGTGTTTTACTTGTATAAATACAGTTATTTGCATCACTATAATATGATGTCTAACCTACAACAAACTACCAAACAAATAATAATAATTATAACTATTATATGCATAAAAAAATATATTATCTACAATAATTATAGTTATTTATTACCCTATATAGGTGTTTCAAATAAAATCGTTAAAAGTATTTTACAAAACTGTTTTTAATGAGTCATCAATAAATAATGTAATTTTCAGTGCTGTTATTGTGACCACTTAACAAAATATTTTAACCCATGTTTGAGGTATATCAATGTATGTTAGACCTATTTTCAGACTAACTTTCAGCTCTTAAATCTTATAATTGCACAAATTTCCAACCCCCCTCCCCTTGGGGGGCGGAGGATGATCGAAAATTGGTGTTAAGGCAATTTTTAGATAGATGCCCAATAAATATTGAATAAAAATGTCGATTTAATCCGATCGTTTTTCGTTAAGTTAAAGCATATCAAGTTGAAAGTTGAAAATCATCGAACTTTTTTTCGATATTTCCAGGTTTTGGGTGTACCAGAAATCACTTTTTCAAATTTTGAATCGCCAAATTATCAACCACATACGATTTCGGTTCCACAGGAAAAAAGTTAATGTCTTCAGACACAAAAAAAACACATAATTGAAAAACCAATTCCTTTTTAGCTATTGCATCGAAGCTAAAAATAAATATCATATAAACTTGTATGTAATCTTATTAAGGAGCAATAAATACTAATAAAAAGTTAAATAAAAATAAATTAATCGATTATATGATATTTAAAAAAAAAGAATGCCAAGTCGGTATCATTTGTCCATCTAAGGACTTATCTAATAAGTTTTTTTAACTTAAACAGTCAATCGTTGTTTTATAATACTTTCAATTTTCATAAAGGAAAAAAATTATGTGTAGGAGAGGTGAATACTAAAAAATGTTTTACTAGTACTGTATGATGTATTTATGTGATAAAATGATAGTATATTATAATTTATTTAGTTATAAAGTTATTATACATTTTAATATTTTATAAAGCATCAAAATTGTATTTTAAGATAATATTTTCTAAAGAAAAACTGATCGCATGCATCACTAAAGTCTAAAAAGGTTTGTTTGTTAATATAACTTATCATTAAGGTATAAAGTATAAATAAATTATTCAACAACTATGTAATGGTATATTTGAACTATATGTATATTCAAATTATATTAACGATAAAAAATAGTTTAAATAACGCAATATCAAAATAATTGAATACTTAAAATAATAAAAATTATAAGCAGCTAAAACATTATTATTATCATTATTTTATATTATATATTATTTATCAATTAATCAATATTATCATAATTTGTAGTTTAAACAAAAAATTGAGTAAGAACCGTTGAACCGGCTATTTAGTCACCTGCTCTTTGAAAACTTGATTGTCAAAATACTCGAGAGAAACATAAATGTTTTTATCAACAATCAAAATAATCAAACCAACGAGTAGTCAAAAAGTATTTTAATAATGTTCATTAAATAATATTGTTTTTCAAAAATAACGTATTGGATATTTATTAGATTTACAATCTTTAGAAAATGTATAAACAATATTAAAATTGCATTAAAAAAATTAAAGTAAGTCACTGTATTGTGTATTCAAATCTTTTAAAAGAAACTTTTAAGATCTATAACTAGGAATGATATATGGGGTGTATTATTTTTGTAAATAACACTTTTGTGAATAATATAACGTTTAAAAAAATTAATTTTTTAATAAAGTACTTATACTTGTGTACTTTGTAATTGTAACTATTATGAATAATATATTTAGTGCACAAATACTGACGACAACTGCATAGTTACATATGCGTGATTGACCAACGGGGTTTATATTTTTAAAAATCGTAGTGAATAAAAAATAACACTAATTTAAAGTTCACGATTAAAACAATATAAGAACCACTTAATAGCAGACTATCAATATTCATAGTTTAATATTATAACAGCTATAGTCAATTATAAATAAGGTTATTGTGGCATAGGAGTGGAAGACAAAAAAGAAAAAAATAACACTCTAAAATATAATTAATAGGTCGAGCCATCCGTCCGTTCAACGGTTCAACGGTGTGGCAGCGGCCCGGTCGTAGGCCATTGCCGCGGCGTTGTCGTTGTTTTGCACGGAACGACCGAACCGAACTTCCAGGCCGTCCACGTCCACGTCGAAGTGGCGCCGGGGTATCTTGTTGTCGCCGGGCGTGTACACCTCACCGCGGCCAAACCGGATGAAGTTGGAATCACGACGGCCGAACCTGATGAAATTCGAATCCAGCCTGCGGCCTATGGCAGCGGCCGGATCGCGTCGCTTAATCGCCGCCCCGGCGGCCGTCCAACAGTCTAGGGCGCGTCCGAACCGCATGAAGTTTTTGTCTAGGGCGCTGCGCCGCGTTAACGGGTCCATCGGTCTCATCATGAACCGTTTATCCACATCGGCGTCATCCCCGCCGCTACTGCCGCTGGCGGTCAACACTGACACCGATAGGATAAAGGACAACAAATACAGCAGCATTTCACCACCACCTGCAAATAGCGCATGCCATAAATGAGTTTTAAAAAACATATTAATACCTATAGCTAACAGCAGGTGTTATTGGTTACTGCAACTGGTGTTACAACACCAGTTATGAAGTTTTCAAGTTGGAACTCCTAGTAAGTGAGTTAGTTAGTAAAAAGTTAGTTTTGGCTCTCCTGGACGCAATTTGCTCAGGGGAGATAAGGTACCTTTTTCCACGAACGGTCAGAATTTACTTGTAAAACAGAAGAAAATACATTTTAGCGATTATTTTCTCTACAGGCTTTAGTTTTTCATAGCTATGCACAGACAAACAAAATTATATGAAGTTGAGGTGGTTCGACGTTGATTATCAGCCGAACGTGACTGCTTTTCCCAAAGTATTAAACCCATTGCTATAGTTTAAGGTTTCTTGATTTCTACGGAACCTTAAAAGCATTTTTTTCATGGGTAAATAGTCCCCTTGGAAATTCCGCTGAAAAAAAGAATAGGTACACTAACCTATACACTGTCCACACCGAATGGTTATGTACACTTGGGAAAAACGAAACCTGTCAAACCAGAGAGGTTGTATTTTATTTTAAGTGAAATTGATTTTCAACAAAGTATTTTTAGCCGAACATATTTAGACCATTTTAAAAATGATGCGACTTTTACTAGACGAACAAAAATAGCGTGGAATTGAGAAATCTAGTTTTTTTCCCTGTAGTTGATCATTTCAAATGTTTGGGTGCCCATTCCCTTGTCTAAAACATAGGTATGCTATTTGTATGTATAACAGACGATCCAGTGGTAATTATTTAAAAATACCATCGATACTTTGATTCCTATAATATGTACTTAGATACTGTTTTATCAAAGCACGCCATAGCACTGATTGATATAATATTGTACGTGACGGCGTGACTGCGTAAACGATCTACGTACATTGTTGATTGTTTGAAAATAGAAGCGTTCTAGATCTATCCAAGTATTTCTTTATTAGACATAAAAGCGAACCGTATTTTTAAGCTGAGCTTACTACTGTGTCAAGCCATAAACTCGCTGGTTTCATTGGTGTTAGCTGTTGTTTACATCAACTCATAAAAAGAAAACTGCCTTTTCCGACAGTTGAGCGTTTAGTGGCTTGTTTCATATACCCAGTCAAATACCTAACTTGACAAAACAAGTTTAACGACACTTGATAAATTGTTCTTCAGTTAGATGCTATCTGGTAGATAACGAACACAAACATATTTACTTATCAGTTTATTTTGATATATAAAGCGGTTTGAAGTATAATTTGGGTACATATTAAGTAAAAGGAAGTAAATAAAACTAAAGAACCCTTTATTTTGGTTTTGCTTTTGAAAGAAGGAAAATAATATCTTCGTTTTGTGTTTCAGTTTTTCAATGCTTGACTGAAATGCAAAATTTATTTTACGAGTTATGACACACATCAAAATTGACTATTAGATATAAGTAGTAAATTTAATAAGTAGTAATTGTTTATAAATTTGAATACATCTACTAATACATTACTCTACAATTTATAATAATAAAGATAGTAGTATTAGTAATTAACAATCACTGTCGAAAATACAGTGTAACACATAATATATATAGGCTTCTCTCCGCCCTCGTATTTATTTATAATTAGTAAACAGGGCTACAGAGGACATGTATATATATATTCCTTTATGTCAAGTTAAGAATGTCGGAAAACATTATAAGATTAAACACAACCATAGAAGCTTGGATCAACAACAGATTTGTGTACTCGTGTAATCTTTCTGTTTGCGCCTAGGAGCGTACGTTTGAGAAAGTTAATATAAATGATAAATTGCTTTTTTATATAAAAGGGAAAAAAGTAATGAAGCTAAATGCCCACGCTTTCCGGAAAGATTGAGAGCTTTCGTTTACCTAGAGCATGGCCAACGGATAGAGTACATTTTAGGAAGTGGTAGTGGTTGGAATTTTGAAAATGATAATTTATTACAATCATAAAAACAATATTTTTACTTCAATGAGTGGTAATATGTTACTGAAATTATATGCTGAAAGGTCGACAAATTCTACTTTATACCCATTAGGTCAAATAATTTATACATTTAGATCATACCTTCGGTGACCGTGATGCGCGTGACAAGCTCTCTAGAACTAAATACCTCCACAAAAGCAATCAACTCAATGTGCATCTGCCCAAGACTTAAACCATATTTAAGGGAGATTATTTGACGCAAATTCTAAAGTTTAATTAATTAATAATTTAGGAACAAAAACCTTTTATTGTTGTAAGTATATAACATCAGGTATTTTTATTATAACACAATAGTGTAGTAACGGCTCATTAATAATTTTAAAAAGTAATATTAACTTGATGCGACAGTCTTTTTTCATAGTGATGTAATCAACTTCAATGGAACTAACAATGCTCGGGTAACGACGCAAGACAAATAATCGTTCGTATAGAAAACAATAAGCTTTTGTCGAATACAACAATAAGAAACTATTTTATAAAGTATTTTCAGTCTCCCAGTTGGCTCCATGTGGGACTATTCTGGCGGAAAGTACATTTAAACTGATAACGTTAAGTTTTAAATTATTCAGATGAATAATGTTATTATGTAACCAATGTAATTGTTTTCCAGTGGTTTTAGCTAAAAAGGAACTGAGTTAAGTTCCATTAAAGTTTGCAGTTAATTGAGTTGTCATTTCGGCAACTTCGTATTGTACTTCCGGTTTGCACTCAATGCATTAGGTTTTAAGCGTAGGAGTAAATTCTATCATAAATGAAAACAATATAAGTTGAGATTTAAAAACCAAAGTGATAGGTAATATAGTGATGGTAGTGGAAGCACTTGAGCTTTATTCTATAGCAATTTTTTTTTTTAATGTACCATATGACGGATTCAGTGTAATATCAAAATTTGACTTAAGTTGATGTGTAAAATATAATTGTCGAGTAAATTTAGTGTATTATAGATTTTCAATCCGATTTCACGCGAGGCCAGTCCAATGCGGTTAATGTAAAGTAACTTCATTAAACCCGACACGGTGACAATGACGTTTGAACGGTTGTAGTGATTTGCCCAAATTTTATCACAAATACTGACATTGGACGTGTTCTGTCAACGGCATTACTCATTTAATAGTTAATAATATTATTACTATCACCGTGGCCGACCGTAAAGTACGACTTGCTATGCACTGTACACAATTGTATTAGCTTCGAATGAATAATGACCGGCGCGGCGTTGGTAATGTGGTTTTGAATTATAATGGCTGATACAATGGCGGGTATACGAGTGAAAAACGACTTGCCGTACTCTTTTTCTTATTTTACCCTCGACGTTTATTTCATAATTAATAATAATAATTTTAAAAAATACTCAGGGCACTCGATTTAAAATTTCCTTAACAGCGCATTGACGTTAATGCGGTTCGCATCCGCACTTTTGTACACAGATACAATGTATATGTCTAGGCTAAGGCGTTTTGCATTTTCTCCCCTCGGTAAATTAAATGAAATTATATGGGTATAGGTATATACATTGAACCGTTGTAAAAGCGGCGAACGCCAACCAGCTAACCAAACCGCGCATTATCATATAAATAAGGTTTTTTCATATAAGTTTTGATGGATAAACACAAGACGATGGGCGTACATGCAATCTCGATAATATATTATTTTACCGAAGACGCCGTTTCTAACCTAAAGGATCAAAAGCGCGCAACATCAAAAATGTCCCACCTATAATACCTAATTGGAAACTGTAATACATACCAATTCTACTTCAGTTTAAACCTTTGTTCTAAGTACAGGTAGTTTATCGTTGTATAACGATTTCTTTGTTTACATTATTACTACCACAAGCTTCAGTGTTCATGAAAATTATTGTTAATTTATAAAAAACAGTAGGTCACTAGGAATTACCTCCTATAAAAAGGCGATAACTTGGGATATTCGTAGCTCAATAGCTGATATAGTATCACATATTTATTAAGATTACGAATCATACTCGGTTAAGATGACAATTCGAAAGAAATTATTTCAATAAAGAAAGAACTATTAGATTGAAAACATTTGTAATCGAACTTCAAAAGAAAAATTACCGACAAATTAAAACAAATAAGATACCTAACCAACTTGTCATAATGTGGTATAGTCAAATTACATTATTTATAAAAATATTCGATTGCATAAACGATAATAAAATCCAAAACATGAAGACAATAGCCAATGGCCAATACAAAGGTTAAACTAAAAATCTTTTATTTGTCATACATAAAAAAAGCCTCTACTGTTTTTTTAAAACACTAAAATAAAATATAAAAATACAAGCACATATTCTCTCGAAAGCCGAGGCTATAATTCATAGATTAAAAACAGAGACATAAAGCTCTTACCATTAATTATAATCTGTCCTAAAATAAACTATTATTAATAAAACCAGCATTATTGTTATATGGTTTTAATGTACACAGTATAATATATAATTTATATGTATAAAAACACAAAAAACAAGCAAAACTTTTATTTGATTATTATGATAAAACAGTATTGATAAGTATAAGAAAAAATAAATTTAAATATATATTTAATGTAAAAAGATAGCGAATTGTGAATTTTATTCATACCAGAGTTAAAAACTTTCGTATAAGAAAATTTGAAGCATGACAGGTACCTCGATAAAAAAGATAAATTGACAAAAATAAGAAAATAAAAAAAACTATTAAAGTGTTTCTGCAAACTCATAGGGCATACTACACATGGAAAATGAAGATAAACCAGTACTACGTTAGTATTAAATATAATACCACTAGATTTTATTAAATCTGATCCTGTCTAATTCTTACAAACAAAAAAAAAATCGAATAATATCTTATTTGATTTTCTAAAAATCTATATTGCTCTTATTTTTAACTTTTTTGTGGAATTGAAAAATGTTGAGCTTTTGTATGTCCTTATAGTCATCAATGTTTTTAAATTGTCATTCGAAAGTAATAAATCATTA